TTGTGTAGGTCTCGTTCACGTGCAAAGAATGTCTATGCAAATTATCTGAGGTTAATATAAACTGTTTTCTTCATTTGTTACTAAGTATCATGGAAATGTTTCAAAACAATGTATTTGTTTTCTCATACTTAATCGTAGAACTGTGTGAATCAGGACCTGGAGTTCCAGAGGGAAATCAGCTCAGCTGTATTTCAGCCTTTTTTTGGGCTTGTGTTGAAGCTTTTGCCTCAGCAGTCACTTCTGTGCAGTTTTCCTGGCACTATCAATTATCACACAAATTGCTAGCTTTGTACCGTGGGTCTTTTCAGACCTTTGCCTTTATAATAGCCCTTCTTCACTGTAGTAGGAAGATTAATCCTGCAGTTGCAGAGAAGGGAGTCTGTAAAGTTCAAAAATTTACCTTAGATTATGGGTAAGCACCTGTACCTTTGATTTTGAGGGCAGAAAATGAGATGACGATGTTCAAGTCATGAAAGAAGATAAGGGACAACAATTTTTGTTGAAATTCTGTTTTCCTTCAGTTAAACGTGGTTCAGTAGAGCAAATCAAGATGGATGGAGAGAAATATATTCCAGATTTAGAGCTGATGCAGATCACTTTTCACTTGAGGGAGGACAGAGATTAAAGGTCCCACTACTATTTTTGAGCAGCTCAAAGATGGTTTTTGCCCCTTGCCAAGTATTTATGGCAATGCTCTGGCTTTTGCTGTAGGTAGCAGTTAAAAAGTGACCTCAATGCTTGCTTACAGAGATTTTTGCATTTATGAGCAGGCTCTAGGAATTCATATCCTGTTGTACTGCATAAACAGAAGTTGTATGTTGTAATTCTCACCTTAGGTTTTTAAAAAATACTTATTTTCTTTGTACTTTTTCACTCCATGGGTAATTGTGCGAACTTCTGTGTTTGTGTATCTCTAGATTAAACAAACTCGGTTGTGTTCTGATATCTGATACATGTTTGTTCCAGATGTTGCTGTAAGAATAGCAAAAAGTAAAAAATTGGCATGGCTCAGACACAAAGCATGAATTGATTATATTAGGAAGGTACAAAACACCTGCAATTGCCAGTAAAATACCTCTGTGCAGCAAGGGCTTCCTCGCTTCTTGTCTTCGTGCGTGCTATTTGTGACTTTCTCAATGAAAGAGGAATTATAGGAGCACAAGAAAGAGCGCGACTTGCTGCAGAGCTTTTGAAGAATCTGAATTTCATTATTTGCTATCCTGCATTATAGTGAAATTATTTGGAAATTGCAAAACCTCTGTTTTAGCATTAGAACAGCTTCACTGATGTGCCAGAGGCTGCTGCAATTCCCAGTGTGAATTCAGATTTTCAAAGAATTAAACTGGAAGAAAAAAGATTATTTTTGAGCTCAAATTCCTGGAAATGCCTCTCAGGGCATAAATTAATCTTGTCTTGGAACGTGATAGCAATGCAAGAGGTGTGCAACCCAGGAATGGAGGAAGAATCGGGTTTGCATTTTTAGAACGTTCTTGTTCCCATAACTTCAAGGGCATTTTTAACTTGAAAAAGCCTGACCATATGTATGTCTGTGACAAGCAGTACAGTGATGGCAAATCTCCAGCAAGGATCACTTGTCTGGTAAGGTCATATCTCGGAGAAGGCTGCTTGCTCCCACAAAGGGCAGTGGGAGTCGAGCTTGCCTTGCCTCTGCTAAGGCTGGGACCATCGTTACAGGATCCTGCTATCAAAACCAGACTCTCTTTAAATGCCTGCTTTTGTGATAGGTGTGGTACATAAATGCTGTTTTATTAAATAGCAAAATAAATTACTGAGGTTTGACCTCAACTGAGGCTTTATCACTGTTGCCCTGCTAGTGAACTCTAAGGCAGAGCTTTTTCGTGGAATTCAGCATGTCGTCACTTTTTGGTAGAAAGAGTTAATGCCGCGCTCTGAAGCTGCACTGAGATGTGTGTTATTGCAGTGCTGTGATTCCTCGGGAGAAGGCATACAGCCCAGGACCAAACCTATTCTTAAATCTGAGTTTCTTTCTCACTGTAAAGGCGTCCTGGATCTTCAGTAGAATGCAGGAGTATTACACAAGGGAGAAATACAGTAACAAGGCAGGGTGGGTGCTGCTCCCTGGGCTGGCGTTTTTGCAGCTAGTCACTGAATAGCAGCTTCCCTAATCTTGACAGCTCTAGTAGTTGCCCCTGGGATAGAAAGAACAAAAAAAATTCGGAACAGTCCATAAAGTTCCCGTTGGTTTGAAAGCAAAAACATCTGCTAGAGTCATGAACAGTTTGTTAGTGGAGTTCAATAACAGGAAAGCCTGCACTTGATCAGCTGTGCCCTCAGAAACCAGCATCGCTGCAGTCAGTAGAATTTATTGCAGGGGAGCCAGGAGATATGGGGAAGATTAGGGCAACAGCAAAACGTGTCAAAATAATGGGTTTGTTCCACTGGTTTCAAATACAAACTTCACCAGTAAGGAAGAAGTGTGGGCATTATGGTTTCATATTCGATGTTTACTGTGAATCCTCAGCTGTTTGTAATCCAGGAAGGTATGTATATTTTCTTAATAGGAATTTGGTAGGGGCTGGATAGACACATCCGTAAGTCACTGAATTAGATCTGTCACAGTTGTAATGAAGCAGATGAATGTAGTTTCTATATTACCTTGAGAAACTGACGAACACATGCTGCTGAAATAATGCCTGTGGTGCCGAGGTGTGGATGTGCACACACAAACAGGCACAGATTCGAGTGATTTCAGTGAATATGGCAGTATCTCATGGGAAGAACTTGGCACTTTGTAAGAATATGTCCAAATATATAGAGCATTTTGAGTAATTCTATCATAAGTCAGGCCCTGAACTGAATTGATATATGGCAGTTTCCAAATACAAGCACTCCGTGATACAGAGGTGTTAGAAATGGCTCCATAGCTGAGGTTGGGTTGAGATACCCTCTTATATAAACAGAATGAAAATCCTTTATTTCATATAGGGTATGGATTTATGAAAACCCTGTGTTGTTTATATTATAGAGGCGCCGTTCTGTATTTATGGTTACAGTTGTGTCTGCACTGCCATTATAAGCTCCTATTATTAGGGGTTTACAACATGGCTGTAAAAATTTGTAGTGGATGGAAACTTGACACATAAAGGTCAACTCTGTAATAATATAGTTTTAAAAAATCAATTTTAAAAATGTTGAGTCATTTTTAGATTATGTTAATATAAAAATCTTGGTTCTGATTTTAGGATTGTACAGCATCCTAATGCTATAGCATAAAACTCGTTTGTTTTACCAAAGTAAAAATACCCTTGTTGCAATTGCTTCTTTTAATTTGCTCTTGTGGTGTCTACTCTTCCCTCAAAGTGAGTATGGTTTCTTGGTATTGACTCCAGGGCTCCAACAGGCCCCTGACAGTAAGCAGGTACAAGAAAATGAGAAATACCTCCTGTCATATTGTTCGTGGTGCTCTTGGGTTTTGCTTTTTCTAAACTCCTTTGGCTTTCTCAAGTGGGAAGTTTTAGTTAGAGCAGCATAATGCTGCAGCTGTAAAGTAGCTAGACTGTAAGCTTTCCTAACAGATTTAAATGTCTCAAGGACCAGGCATCATGAAATACTATTCTTTACAATAAGTCTACAGTTCTTTCTCTCTTTTTTGTGGAGTGTTGGAACACTAGATTGTGATTTTCCCTGAAGTTGGATGTATACATGGTAATCATTTTAAAAGTGGTTTGGCTATCATGCAGTCTGCAGAGCTGAAGAAGTTGCATCTTTCTGTTCTAATGAGTCCATATGAAGACGAATAATGGCAGTGACTAGAGGAACAGAACTAAGTTAGTTTTGTTCTAAAAAAACCTTTCTGAATTGAGGTTATTTATTTCCATCAGTCTTTTGAAAGCAGCAGAGATGTAGCTATTTAAGCAGTTAATAGTAATGCGAGATTCTCACAATACTGTCAGTAAAAGGTTTGCTGGTGGACGCTGTGGGCAGAGCTGATGTTGAGTCAAACTGAAAGATGACCCAGCCCCAGATCTCTGGTAATGACTGGAAGCAGAGTCCCCTTTGTCCAAGAGCTTGGAGGTTATGAACTTGATGATCTTAAGGTCCTTTCCAACCCTAACTATTCTATGATTCTATGATTCTGTGATTCTTGGAGGTTGTATCTGGACTGTTGTGCTTAGTAGCCACTCATGAATTTCTCACTCAGCTTGGACTAATGTGTCTTTCTAGTTATCAGTGTCACCTGCACCTGAAAAAAGTGTTTTTTCTTATCTGTCCAGAATTGTGATACAGTATTACTGCAATGCACTGCAAACCTCAAATACAGAAGTGCTGGTATTTTACAGTCCAGTGAAATGATCTCAGTATTTAGTCTTTGTAGCAAATTAAACATCAAACTGTACTTCCTTACGAATTCTTAACGTGTTACTCCCGTAATGAAAAGGTAACACTAAGATGACAAGCGCTTCCTATTAAATTGCAAAACAGTGAAATCCTGAAATTCAGGTTGTTTGTGTAGCAGATTTTAATTATCAACATTAATGTTGAACTGGGAATGATAATACAGTTCATGAAATCTTGGAAGTACTTTGTGTTCGAAGTCAGTACATGGACCAGTGCCTCGGGATAGCTTTTGTCAGCTCACTTTAGCACAGTTCACATTCTGCAAAGTCTGTAGAAAAGGCTTACACCACTGACAGCACCATTTCTCAGTGGTAAATTCCTCAAGGCAGATGGTTATCATCTGTATTGGGCTGTTCTTTATGTTTATTGGGTAATTAAGGTTAAAAGAAGAGCCACCTGGGTTATCATAGTGGCTGTATGTATATGTTCAAGTCAAAGAACAGAAATCTTTTCATCACTTTTGATGTCAGTATTTGATCTGTTTCAGTGCCCCAACATACTGTCGCAGGTTTAGGAAGACATATACAGTGCTGTACCAGTAACTCACTGAAAAGGGGTTTTTTTTCTAAAAAAAACATTTAACAGTAAATCTGATTTTTCAGTTTTCTGGTTTCTTTCAGTGGTTCCACCCGGGAGCCCTGGACCGATCACTCGACACGAGTCGTACGACAGCTTAGCATCTGACCACAGCGGGCAGGAGGATGAGGAGTGGCTCTCACAGGTATGCTTTCTTGGGCGTTCCAGTTCAGGTGTGAAACGGTAATAGTATCCACTGGAAGTAAAATCCACAACTTTGCTCAAAACGAAAGTAAGCTTCCAGCATGCCATGGGTATTGCTGAGTGCAAAACTGACCTTAGCCCTGAATTAACATGGTATGAATTTGATGGTCGTTCCATTTTATGCAAACTATACAAGCTATATTAAAAATGAAATAGAGCTTCATCATTACTGGCATACGTCCTTGGGGAGTTCAGGGTGAAGTAGGAATTTTCACTTGGCAACAGAAAATTACCTCTCTTCGGTCTTCTTTGACGTGGTTGTTTGCAAACATGGATAAAGGAAGTTGGCTAGGCAAACTGGAGATGCCTTTTCACTTGTGACCTGTGCTATACTTACTGCATTTTAACATTAAAATGGTAAATGAACTGGTTCACTTCCTTTTTTTTCTGGTTATCAGCTACTGCATTTCCTGATGATAATTCCTGTGAGTTATAGCTGTGTACAAATATATGTAGTGCTTTAAAATGGTCATGCCTGGTAGGATACTTTTCTATGAGGTTAAATTTTTGTAGTCTTATCAATTCTTTCTTTGTTTCAGTCACTGAGACTTCTCTTTAAGAACTTGGTACATACTTGAGTGTTTGGCTCAAAACATAATTTCAGTTTTAAGACTGTAGGTCATGAATAATACACTGAGGATTAGTTCCTGTTAGTAGGAAAAGGTTAAAGTTAAATAAATAAATAAGATTTACAAATGCTCTGGATTTACCAGATCAATTACAGGCTACCTGATACATGAAATTCATCCTGACAAATTAGGTGGGTTTCCTTTGGTTTATGAACAGTGTTGTTATGGGAGTGATGCATAAAATGTGTTGCTGGGGTGTATGGCATAAATATGAAATATTCATGGATGTGATTTGCTTCTCCCACTGGTGAATAAATCATACACAGCATTTTCCTAAAATGAGAAGTTAGGTTTCCACATGGACCGGTCCAGAAGTGGCATTCACTGGGGAATCTGTTCGTGTGAATCCACTTACTGGCCTGAGTTTTCAGTTGTGGCTGCACATCGATACCTCTTCTTTGCATATGCTTTCTCTAGTCAGAGCATAAAGGCAGTGAAACTACTCAATCAGTGCAGTCAACAGGAATCTTATCACTGAGCTCACTGAGGCCAAGGTTTCACCTGTGGTTTTCTACCTACCCTCTCCAGTACTGTTTGGGTAGTTTAGTTTATTTTACTGTTCCAGTGACTTTCTGGTGCAGTGTTGCAGCCTCAGGAATGCGACAGTAAGGTAAATATGCATTAGGGGGTTGGTTTATTACTAATTCTTGGAAGATGTGAAATGCAAAGGAACTTAAAACTTCTTGAACTTCATCACATCTATCCCTCTAGAAAAGTAAATATATTTATGAGGAAAAAAAAGAACCTCCAAGTGATGTCACAGAACACAGATAATTCAGAGAATGCGTCCAGAATGTTTTATTTTTCTGAGTGAAGAGGGTGCTGATAGCTCTTCCGAGCACGAAGATGCTAGCGTTCTCTGCACAAGCCACTTCAGATTAAGCCTAAAGTGCAAGTATGTTTTTCAAAATTAAAGTGTTGTTATCAACAGTAACAGCATGCAGTGAAAAAACATCGCCCTTCACTTCAACTTTTCAATTAGAACAGTGGGTAATGTGTGCTGTCAGTGTGAAGTAGATACAATATGTTTGTCCTGCACACAACGGGAGAGTGAATAGGAACATCTGGCCGTAGCCTCAGTAAAATTGCAGAGGCATCTGTTTACCTCTCGGCTCTGTGACACTGATGGTTTCAAGCTTAAAATATACAGATTACTTTATCTGTGGCCTAATTTACATTGCTACATAAAAGCTACTTGCCTCTGAAAGGTCTACAGTCAGTCTGAGTTACACTAAGATAAATGCAAAGATGGAAACAGTGCTAAATAGGCTGTGCATTTGATGCCTTCCGTTAGCAGAGAGCCTAAACAACATTATCCAGTGTTTAAAATTGCTTCTCAAAGGGGTAAGGATCGCTACTAGTAGATATCTATGTCATCTATATACAAAAATATATTTTCATTAACTTCCTCACTAAACTGAGTTTTTGCTGTGAAGCTGATCACTGTTTTAGCAGAAATCAATAGGGATTCGGGAGTCTGGCTGTGTCATCTTAAAATTGTGAGTTTGCCAGAGCTCAGTTATTTCCATTTCATATTTCCTTTTTCTGATACTTAAAGGCTCTTTTTGATTTTTCAGACTGTATTACAGAAGGCTTATGCTTAGGTTACCCTTTAATTTACATGGCCAGCTTTGCCCTGATCATACACATTTCCAGCAATGTCACCATCTTTAATTTTCATGGTTGTTTGCATTCCTGTAGTTGACTTACTTAAGAGTTTGGCAGAATTGATACACCTCAGGTTTATACTTATCAGTGTGAAAAGACATTTTTAAAATACTTTGGATGCTTCATTGACTGAAATAATTGGAAGTTCATCTCTAGGCTCTCACTGGGAGAAAATATGAATTCTTGAAGTTGTTGTTTGTTAGACACACCACCTGTGTTCTGTAATTTGGAAGTAGGCATGGAACTGTGAAGCTTCTGTGTCTCTGTTTGTATCTACACGTCAATGCACATACAGTAAATCTATCATGTCCACATATTATATATGTGGTTGTTCATTGCAAGCAAACACTCTTCTAACTGTTAGACTGTCAGTTAAATTAATACATATGCATGTGTGTAGCTGCCCTTCTAAACTCCATGTGTTGCACATACATGTTATATCACATCTGCATAGTAACAAGACTTAACCGGGGCTGTTCGGTGTCTCACTGAGCACTTCACATTGCTTTCTGCTTCAGGTCCTGTAGCTTCCCAGCAAGATGGTCTCTGCCAGTGGTATCCTCAGATATGCCAACAGTAATTAGGAGCTTTGATTTGAAATACAGTTCACACCTATGTACATGTGAAGCAGTGCTGTTTAATGTGTGAACTTTTAGAAAGCAGCTGTAACAAAGCTGTAACAGCTTGCTTTGGAAAAGTGCATCCCTTGACCTGGTCAGGATTGAGGTCATCTGGGGGAGGTAGACTTCCCATTCCTTGGTCTGCTCTATGCAGATGCAGGCAGAAGTGTTTTCCCCTGTTTGTTGCACCACCAGGGTAGCTTTTTAGCAGCACATATTTCATAATGGCAAGGGGAGGAAGATCAGGGTCAGGTGAAGTGATAGCCAGGGTGCAGTGTTCATCTTCGGAACAGTTTAAGAACTGGGATGCAGTGTTCTCAGGCTGGTGGTTCATAGGCTTTCAAGGCTCCGCAAAAAGCTCTTGGCTTTGGCTGGAGCATCCTGTCTCTATCAAAGACATTCTGAATTTTCCCCTGTTTGACATTAGTCCAAACTGATGGCACAAAATGCTCTTTTTTGTTTGAGAACAACAGGATTCTGGTGATTCAACATACTGAAGGAACCATTCATTCTATCAAGTTGCAGGTTTGTATTAAGCATTTCCCTGTATTTTCTTTCCCCAGGTTGAAATAGTGACTCACACTGGGCCTCATCGACGCCTGTGGATGGGTCCACAGTTCCAGTTCAAAACAATCCATCCCTCAGGCCAAACTACCGTCATCTCATCCAGTTCTTCAGTGCTGCAGTCGCATGGTCCAAGCGATACCCCGCAGCCTCTTCTGGACTTCGATACAGATGATCTTGATCTCAACAGTCTCAGGTAAAAACAAAAGCAATTTCCAGGCTGCTTCACATTTGTTGTGTGAATAACTTGCCTCATGCTTAAATGAGGCCATCTGTGTAGAATGTGTAATAGTTTTCATCAGTCTTGTCCAGATGAAAGTCTTAAAAGTGTGTGTGACTCAACAACAATAAAAATTCACCCAGGCCGAGCAGCTCAGATTCCTTTCTGCTGCCTCTTCTTGGGTAAATGACAGTGAAAGACAGTACAAAGTCTGGTGCCTTGTTCAGCATCATCTTGGCTTTCACAGTTTCTGCATGGCTTAATAAATTCATTTTCTCAGACATGAGTGGGAGCTTTAAGCCATAGATTTAGATGCTGACTGGGAAGTGGTCAGTGTGTTGGAACAGTAAGTGAACTTCTGGAATGTTTTTCCTCTCCCTGTTTTTTTTTCCCCTTTCCTTTGCTTCTTTCCTTGTACTTCTTTCTCATGTATTTAATTCATCTTCTTTTGGACATGACCTGATTTGGAACTGGGGGCAGGGGGTTGACCTAGGAAAGGGAAGGAAGGTAAATGTGGGTTTGTATTTACTGAGAGCTAGTGATTTTTGTAGAAGTGCTTTATGCATCATGTGTTTCTGTGTCCTGTCCAGTAACTCAGGATTTAACAAGTTTCCATGCTTCTGACTGTGCATGTGATTTGAAGTCCAGAGTTCTGCGGTGTGGACTTAGTTTGGGACTGTGTCTAAAACTCTTATGAGTAAAACGAGAGATGGATAATATGACTAATCCCATTAAAACTGGGCAGATTGTCCTTGGACTGAAAATACATGGTTTTGAAATGTGTGATTTCTCCTTGCATGTAATTGCTCCCACAAGTAAGGATACGATTGTCAAATACGTTATTTTTTTTTATTGCATATATGTATACATATGCAGAAAGAAAGCAGAAATTAGAAATAATAGAAATATCTGTTAAAAAAGGGCAGACAATTGCAAATGTCTTCTCTCCTAAACTGACAAAGAAAATGCTGCTGTTCAGGAGGGTGATAGAGGCTTTTATAGCCCATTTGGATAGGCTGAGCTTCTGCCTTTGAGGTTTTCTGAGAGCTCTAGCCCAGACACAGTTTGGGGATATTCATTTTGTGTAGAGTCTCAGCCTGTCCCTAGGTGGATTATGCAGGTCTTGGCTCCACGAAGCAAAGAAAAACACAAGTTTTCAACAGTTGGCTGATTTAAATATAAATAGTTGCTTAGTATTTTGAGCTGATTCAGGTGTGTGATTTAATTACAGCCCTCATGAGCAATGACACAAGTGGTAACTGTAACTGTAATTGTTATTTAGGATTCAGCCAGTTCGGTCAGAACCTGTTAGCATGCCGGGGTCACCACGTCCAGTTTCTGATCGCAGAGGAGGTTCAACAGTGATTGATGCTACCTCAGGTAGAAACATGTTGATTTCATGTTTTCTTTGATATTCATCAGTCTTGTCTTTTTTTGTCTGGTAACATGTTTACTAACTATTGCCATATACTTAAAAGAATATCATGATTTGCAGCTGCACAGTAGGGTAAGTGCTGTCTTATACAGGTACTTAATGAAAGCTACCATAATGATGAATTTTTTTCCACCTCTTACCACTCAGATATGAAGTCACAGCATGGTGGTAAGATCCAAACACAATATTTACATGAAGTTTAACATGAGCTAGAGAATGCTAAAAACTGCCTAAACTAAAAAGCAGAACTGCAAATACTAACGCTGAAATGCTTTTATTAATGAATGCCTAAAGCATAGAATATTACAGTTCCATCTCATTTATAAAATAGCTTTCATTGAAATGTAATCATAAATGTAATTGATTTCTGTGAACAGTCAAGACAACAGGATAGTTTATCTAATGTTTGTGTAATAGGCGCGTTTTCACTACTTTGCTCTAAAAGGGCATGTAAATTTAATACTACAATGGTTATGTTAATATCAACATAGTAATATATGTACTATAAAGTTTTCTTCTGTTTTTTCTCAGTGGTGGGGTATAGTCTATGTAAAGAAACAAGAACAGCAGAGCTTTATATTCTGGTGCAGCTGTATAGCCTCTGATGTGTCCACACAGCAGGATTTTGTCAAATAATATCTCTCACAAGTAGAATTATTAAACACACAGCATTAGTCAAACAGTCAAGTCAGAGAGGATTTTAATCTTTAGTGATTTGAAAATCCCTGGAGATTGCTGATTGGATTGAGGTTAAACTATAAAAAGAGACTGTAACACACACAGAAACTGGTGTCTGAAAGTTGTTTTAAAGAGAGTTAAAATAAAAGCTCCTCTTCTGGACTGTTTGCTATTGATATAAATTCTGAGTCCAAGATACTGCATTGTTGCCAAATTAATTTATTTGGGTATTCCAGGTTTTTTCTTAGATGTGTTTATAACTGAGTTCAATAATAACTATATTTGCTTTGAATATTGAAGATTGTCATTATAAATTCCATTTCAGATCTTTAAAACTTGTTCAGTTAATTCTCGTAGAGCTTAGACCAACATCTGATGCTGGTTTTTTAAAGGGTATTTTGTTTTATTATGTGACAAAGTAATCTTGAAAATAATGGTATGATACAGAAGCAAACAAATGCATCACATTGGTTGGCTTGTTTTTACTAGTTCATCTATGCCTGTTAGCCCTAAAAGGTTACAAGCTTGAATCAAAAGAGTGCTTCTGCCTGTGTAGCTCACACTGCAGATTCAGTGATTAACAGTATAGCTGTTCTTCACTCTCAGCGTGCCTGTGCCAGCTGATACAGATGGAGATAGCTGGGTTATCAGTGTTGGTTTTCCTTTCCTCTTGTGTCTGAATGGAGCAGTGCCATTACCTGTTTCAGGGATATGTAATAATGCTGAAATACAACCACTCTGTAACCATAACCCACTCTAAACCTGTGCTAGTCCATTTACAAGAGAAACAGTGAACTCCATAGGGCTGTACCTCTTCTATGCTGAACAAGCTGTGCTCAAGTGTGGATGGGCCTTAATATGAAATGGCTCATGTGAATGTGATGAAGCTCTGTTGGTAATGCCTTTAACATGTGTGTCCATATTAAAATTGCCAAAGTCAATTGTATACATGGTTATGACACTGAAAATATATTTACTGTATAGCAGTGACTCAGTTTTGTTGTAACACCTCGTAAGTGTCTTACAAACAATACATGGATTTTGTTAGGGACATGCTGATAGCAGTATTTTATTTAACTTCATTGCCAGACAGTTTGGATTTGAATTGATTTTTGATTCAGGGACTTTACCATCTATGTGCAATTTTTGAATTGTCTGATCCCCATTCTTTCCCATGCAGGAATTATTGGCCCAAATTAGGGTAGATACGCCAGATTATGTGTGATGGAATAGGGCTGTGAGTTCTGCTACAGAGGAGAGAAGGCACAAAGGAAAAACGTGCTGTTTTTTGAGATCGCATGCTACTCTTGTGGCAGAGCCCAGCAAGGCAAGCAGGATATTTTATGCTGACTTTCTTCTCCTCCCACCTTTGAGATGTGCAGAAAATTACATTAAACTCAGCTCTGAATCTGAAGGTTTTATTGTAAATACAGTTCATGTACGACACTGCATTTTTTGTGTTCTCGTCCACTACTGTAAGTATTCTCATTTCCTGCTATTACCACGGCATGCCCTAAATGGCTTACATTCTTTATGGAAAACAAATCTATTGGAAAATACATTTTTAGGTTTGAAGGATTTTCAAGTAGGTCATAAACTTTTACTGCCTAAGCTGAACCAGGAAGTGATTCTTCAGTTATGACCCATGCATTTGAGTCTGTTGCACTTTATGAAGATACTTATCTGGCCGTTTGATTGCCTGTTGCTTAGAGATACAACCAGCGTTGTCTTCTTATCTAACTCCATCGCTTGTTCTTCCTATCAAGAGATTGCAAGTACATGTTTACCATCTTCCATTATTCTTCTGCTGGCCTTGATAGCTTCCGTCCTTCTCCCCTGTTGGTGACAACTCTGTTGTCGCATTGAACAAGAACTTTGTGTAGGTGTTTTACCTGTGTTTTTCACGTGTCTGTAGAGCTGTGGTACACTAATGTCAATATTCTCTCACAAGATTATTTGCAAAACTCATCATTCAGAAAGCACAAAACACTTTAATGCTGCTATTAATAATGAAACTTTGCAGTGGCATTTTCAAGGTGGATGGTCACATCTGTAAAGATTACTAGGATAAATGAAAAAAGGCACATTTCAATATGGTTATCTCAAAATAATCCCAAAATATTAGTCCCTAGGTTGTTTGGGGGTTTTTGGTGTGTGGCTTTGGTTGCTTGTTTTTGGTTTTTAATGAAATCTTCAAGAGAAGTTTGCAGAATGTAGTCACCTAAAGCTACTGGACATTTGTCCTTCAATGCACACATTTTAGTCATATGCATCATAGAATATACCCTTAAGGATTAAATGCACTGGAATTCCAGATGCTCTTCCAGATTGAGAGTTAGAAACGTTAAAGGGACAACACTGAGTTTAAATCTTTCTAAAGCATGAAGCCATTAATAAAAAAGCAGCAAAGGAACCATTACTGTACACATAGTAAGTGCACACTGTGTGTAGCAAGCAGGAATATGTGCTTGTGTGCCTGTGTCTGTCCTTCCTGAAGAAGTGCTGAGCCTACTGGCTCATTACGTTGGGTTTAACAACGGTGGGGTCTTAGTAAGTCAGGTTATGTTGAAGACCTTATTAGACACCAGAGATGAAAGAGAAACCTTACAAGTGCCTTGTCTGCAGGAGATGCTGCTACACAACCAAACCAGCCAGCCCTGAGATAGAAATCTGAACTGCAACAAAAGAAGTGTTTGTTGCTGAATGATTTGGCTCTATTTCAGAAGACTTTACATTACCTGTATGCGTTGAATGCTGTCCCTTTCTTTGATGTGATGAGCCTTAGATACAATTTCCAGCTAGCTGAGGGTAGCTACAGAATGACAGAGGCTCACCTAGAAAATACAGTCATCAGCTGGACAAGCATTTCAAGGCACCTTTCTGATTTTTAATACTGTGACCTGTGGGTGATTTTATGCATGTCAATTATGTTACACACCTGAAAAATCACACCTAGTAGAACTCTACTAGTAATAAATAATGCAGAAATTGAAGGGTGTGGGAGGGTTTGGATGTTTGTATGGGACATCAGCTCTGGACTTTTCAGAAATGGAAAACCTCTAGAGAAGGGATTTCACAGCAGTTCCTGATCACAGTGAATGTGATTGCACAGCTGCAGTGGGTCTGTAAGGGCAAGTGTTTCCTTAAACTGGAACAAATGTGGTGAAGGCTGCCAGTACTCAGGTATGCTCAGTCAGAGCTGTTAATTCAATCCTGCTCAGTTAAAAAAAGTGTGCATCTGTGTGTGTGTGTTTATGAAAAGCCTTGTTTATTCCCTCATGCAAAGAGGTTTTTGACACTTCTTCGTCATTCAAGTAATGATTTTGTTGCATTGATAGCAGAGTAGGAGAAGGCTGATGAAGAAGTCTGACCTGTTTTGCATGAACCTTTTCCTTTCCTGCTTGGAGGAGATCTCTGTTTCTTTCTTGCTTAGGACAAATGCAGGATTTCGGGTGGGGAGGATTTTAATAAATATTATTAATTCAGTAATATCAAATCATAGAAGAAAAAGATCCTGAGCATTTTTTTAGTTCTTTGATTATGTGTGGGGTGGGGAGAGCCTTTATGATCTCTGAAACCTGGCATGAGTTTTGCTGCTTAGGGATGCAAACATCATTTTTTAGTAAAGATCGGTTATTAGTGTTATATGAAACTCTTAACAATATTAAGCTCTCTTTTGGTTACTTCAATCAATGCCCACTTAAAATTGGCTTGTAATTTAGCACTTCCTTTCCTCTTCATGCAGCTGGCTGGTCCTGGACACAGCTTGTTGCATGCAGAGGGTTTGGTGAACAGAAGAATTGACTTAGGTTTTGTGGTGGAGGGAGTTTGCCTCCCTCCGTCCTCTCTGCCTGTGAAGGCTCTGTTATTGTTCATCACCACACCTGTGAGATAGGGACCACGGGACAAATTTTTACTGTCCAGCATTGCTCTCACTTGGAATTTAATAAACACTTCTGCTGTCACACCTTAAACCATCTGAGCTCTTTTCTGTTGTATGTGCAATCAAATATTTATTCCCAAATGCTGTACACCAGAAAGTGCTGCCTTGGAGTAGTGGAGATCACTTATTCAGGTAGTAAAGATGTGTGAATGCAGCTGGCAGATGAAGTCACCAACATTATGAATTCCCAGGCTGTCCTTACTGCCACAGGCAATAACTGACAGGCCTGAGTGGTCGCCGGTTTCCCGTTACGGGCATTGGTAGGGCCCAGGGAGTCCTGGCGTCACGGATACTTGAGCTGCTGTGCTTGAGAGGAGCCGGCCAGCGCTGGAGGGTCCTTGCTGCAAAGAGATGTAATCAATATGGTCTGGAGTCCTTGACCTGAACCTGTAATTACCTGGATGGTATAAAGGTAGTTTGTTGTTGCAGATAGAGATTGCCCTCAGAAACTTCGCGTATAATGCTGAGCTCTGAAGCCAAGGAAGAGATTTGGCCCTTGGTCTGTGCTTCACAGCAATTGAGAGGTTTTAATAATGGGCATATAACAAGCTGTTCTTAGAGGGCATCACCAGTTCAGTAAATCAAAATACGCGTCCAGCACTGCTTGTTTTGTCCTTCTGCATTGTCTCAGCTTAAAAAAGTAGTTTAAGTTCCAGTTCCTTTCTGGAATAACTTATAAGCCAATTCTGCTAATATTTATTTAGAACACTTATGTTACTTATTTTAAAACCATTTTCTGCATTATTCCTAGAACAGTGGTGGCATGTGGAATTATACACCAGGTACTTCTGTGTCCTCGGTGCAGTAGCGCACACTTGCATGCACTCATGCTCTCTCTGTCCTATTCATCTCTCCTGCTAAATGCCTGTGTGTGCCTGAGCTGCTTCAGACAAAATTGTGGTTGTTAGTATTTTTTCAACTTGATATATTTCATCTAATTTGAGAAAATGTTATCTGATGATTTTTGAAGAGAGCCTTAAGACAGAACTGACTTCAGCAGGCTCCAAGATGCCAATGCAGTATACATGATTACATCTAGAAACAGCTATGCCCTATAGACTGTGGAGATGTGAAGAGGAATTAAAATGACCTGACACTACTGACTGGGCACTTGCTGCTGGATCATTGCCTGGCTTGGGAAAAGACTCAGCTGCAGGGATACATGGAGTAATATTAATGTCTTGAAACACTGGTGGGTGTTTTCTGTAAGCAGAAGTATGCTGGAGAGAGGACAAGTATGGGAAGAGTGACTGAAGGGCAGGAGAATCATTATGTACTGATTTATTTTTGCCTCTCTGTGGTGGTTGTGGGTCAGTTAGTCTGTCACATCTAGAGATAGGAGCTCACTGTGCAGCATGATGTAGTGATGTGGGCCAGCTGTTAACCCCGCTAGTGACAGCGGACACTTCTCATTCCAGTTTGCCTTTGGTTTAGCTGAAGAGGCTTGTAGGACTTGAAGCAGTTAATCTCTCCTAAGGTGGTTGTGCTTTGACACATAAGTGTGTTTCAGTTTTTAAAAAAGTGGTGCAAATTGATGCAAGTAAACATCAGAATTTGACAATTTGTAGACACTGCTGTGTTAGGTGGAATTTGACTTTAAGCAACTTCAGTTACTCAAGGTGCTTAATCCCCTAAAGGCTGATCACCTTGGTCATCTTGCTAGTGTGACTTTTTTGACGGTTCACAGGGGATTTTGACACACAAGAAACCCAGCAATTTCCATATTGGGGTCATAGCTAGATGAAAGCATAACTGTGACCTAACCAACATAATAACCAAGTACAATAGGGTTTTTCTTCACATACAAAGCTAAGTTGCAGCAAGGCCTGTAGGGGCTGTGTTAATGGTCAGTGGTGCAGGCTGCTGGTGCTCAGACTGTTGTTCTCATGTCACACAACCTGCTCGATGCATGTACCAGTGATCCATTAATGCAGACAGTGGAGTGTCTTATTGCTCAAGTGTTGCACACTAACTTTGTGTGGGGAAGCCGCCTTCAGTTCATATAATGGTTCGTCAGCTGAAAAATAGCAGTGTGCTAGAGTGTGGTCTGGCCCAGGCCTGTAAATGCCTTGTATTTATTTATCAGGTGAAAGTCCAAAATGCATAATAGGTATTTTGTTTATTGGTAGCAAGCACAAACTTGTTCTGAATATAAGATTGTCTTATATATCCCTTAATTGTCTTTCATTAACAGCTGTTAATGTTCTGTGAAGGTAGCTTTAAAGCCTCGAATAAGTGGAAAGTGTTGATTCTAATCATATCTGACACCACAATCTTCTATGGAACAACACATGAGCTGAGATTCCCGATGGGCTCCTGTAGGATACAATATTTATTATAGCTTGAGATCTAAGAGCTCCTAGCTACTGTTAAACTTGCAAGAGATCCAGAAACCTCAGTGTCTGTACTTGTGTTTTCATAGTTTGCACAGAAATAACACACGGTACAGTATTTGCAAAGAGGCTGTTCACTGACATTTCTGCTCTTTTTATACAGTGCTTAAAGGAGTTCTACAAATTGTGGTATTTTTATAAGTTTGTAATATGTTCTAAACTCATTAGACTGTTTAAAATGTTCTTTAAACTGTATTAGATGTGCAAATTGAGAGTATTTGAACATCCATCTGCAAATGAATTTTGGAGTCAGTATTGTTTCAGGGAAAGCTTTCATTTAGAAACAGTTGTTCAGTTCATAATAGAGACATTCTTTTGTTTAATGATTTCACTAAATTAGGCTACACTTCAAAGTATTTGCTCACTGTTTTCCATGTCTGCTTTGAAAAACCTCTAAGTATGCTTCATTATTTCTTGTTTCAAGAGTACCTCCTCCCCTTTGGACTGTAGTCTCTGTCAGATGCCAGGTTTTTATCATCAGGATTGCTTACTGGTTCTGGTCCTCTTGAGACCCTCCAACTTTCCCTCCCCTGCTTTCAGAAACTGTTCCAGAACATCAAACCTTGTCCTCAAGGCTCTGCACTCTTCCTCTTGTCTTTCAGCTCCTCCTGCCTGTAAAATACCCATAGAGGCTTGATGTCCATGTCCCTAGAGCACAGCAGCTGCCTGAATACTGTAGGTTGTGATGGCTTCTTTAGAGCAATTAAATCTGTGGGTATAAAACTGGGCATTAAGCCACCTCCAAGAATGTTTTTTGGGTTTGATCACTCAAGGACAGCTGGAAGTGGTGCAGCAGCTGCTAAACAAGGTCTCCTAGTTTCATTGAATCGTAGAATAGTTAGGTTTGGAAGGGACCTTAAGATCATCCACTTCCAACCCCCTGCCATGGGCAGGACACCTCACACTGGATCATGTTGCCCAAGGCTCTGTCCAGCCTGGCCTTGAACAATGCCAGGGATGGAGCATTTATTACTTCCTTGGGCAACCTGTGCCAGGCCCTCACCACCCTCACAGTAAAGAACTTCTTCCTTATATCTAACATGAACTTCCCCTGTTTCAGTTTGAACCCATCACCCCTTCTCCTATCACTACAGTCCCTGATGAAGAGTCCCTCTCCAGCATAGAAAATCCTAATTTGTTTTTTTTTATTCCTCTTTTCATTAGATGGCAAGAATAGCTTTTAAAAATAAATACATTGGCTTGTTTAGAATTTTTGCTTTTTTCCCAGTAGTGTGATAATTGTGCTGCATTTTAAACCAGAACACTCTACACAAAAAGGAAGGAGAAACTGAGTAAGGAGCTGCTAAGCTGCTGGTTTACGGCTCTAAGCTGTGCAAAGTGCGAGTTGGCCACAGTGTCATACCAGAAATTATTTTCAATGTGAGTTGCTAATTTTCCTCTCACTTGTATTTCTTCATGCTACAGATAATATATTGCTTTGTGGATAATACTGTAATAATGAAACGTTTGACACGTAATATTTCAGAGCCA